AGATAGTGGTGAGGATGAAACTCTACAAGGAATATGAACTGTTATTGCTATTTATTGGGCATTCCTGTGTGCCTGTCACTAGGCTGAGTAGTTTGCATAAATTATATAGAGTAATCCCAGAATTCCCCTGTGAGGTAGGTATCTATATCTCAATTTTACAGATGGGGAAAAAGACTCTGTAAGGCTCAATAACTTGCCTAAGGCCTTACAGCCTGTAAGTGGCAGAGCTAGGATTTGAGCTTAGGTCTGTAGAATCATTTGAAGGTAGGATAGATTATGGACCTTGTATTCTTTACAAAACATAATATATCTTCAGGACTTGCAAAACCTGAAGTCCTAAGTCTGATTACATAATGTGGGGGCAGCAAGGGAATACAAGCCATACTTGTCTTGTAGGCCACCATGCAGTTACAGTGTAGAGAAATGGTGACAATTATTTTAGTTTGGTGTTTTTTATCAAAGAGTGATTAATAGTCAGATGTACTAGCTAAGGTTTATATTAGTTTAGTGCATGCCAGGTACTCTACTTAGTGCTTTATGTATGTTTATTTGTCACAACTGTATGAGATTAGGCATTGTTATTTCTATTTTTTTCAGATGGCATAGGGAGATTAAGTAAATTGCTGAAGGTCATCCAGCCAGTTAATTATAGAGCTAGAATTCAAATTTAGGAAGCTTGACGTCAGAATGTGTGTTTCTGTATAGCTTGTTAAGTTTAATGAGGAGGGAGTAAATAAAGTAAAATGTTTGTCTTTATAGTAAAACTTAGAGCCTTGAAAATTCATTGTCACCATTTCCCAAATCAATGATTCATCACCAGTCAAATCATGGTTCCTGTTTTCTCATGAACACTCTTGTGGCTAGCATTCTGTCCAGAACATTTAGTGAGATGCTTATCTATCCCATTTCCTCGCTCTGACAGATGTGGAAACAAGGGCCCAGAGAGACTAACACATTTGTGAGAGATTTGGTGTTATCAGATCTGATACTAGAACTGTTTTCATAGAACTATGTTTTTTCCACTTTCTGTTTTCTCGATGCTATTTGTTTGTAAAAAAGATGTGGTTCTTGCTCCAAAGCCTAATGAGTAGGCACTAAATTTAAATGGATTAGTGAGCATAAAATGTCACAGAAATGTGATATTGTCAATGAAGATCAGGATTTCTGTGGTCCTGAAGATAGGATACTTTGTGAGGAAGTTTTATCTGTTGGGGAAGAGAAGGGTTCGATGAGCTGTTAGTGGTTCTGAGATGTATAGGGCCAAGTGTAAGGACTAGAGAGAGGCCTTTAGGAGCTAAAGGTGCCCCAGGCTGACAGCAATGAATTGAGTTAAATTATTATAATTGATGTGGTTATGATCTTGAATTAATGTGGTACACTTATTCAAGGGCTTTTGTGATACCATTTCATTTTCCTTTAATATCAGTGATGCATCACCATTCAAATATTTATAGTATTTAACATTTAGGATTATTTATAGTGAGAATTTCTAAAAGAGAATGTATGGTAATTAAATATATGTGTGAATTTTAGTCTAATTGTGGTGCGCTTCTTCTCACAGGATTCTCTTTAATAGAGAAGGGATTCATTAGGATTGGTGTCTCAGTATTTTGCCCTTTTTTTTTTCCTGGGTATCTGTAGGGATCCTGCCTCCACACCATGAGTCGCATGCCCAGGTGATGATGTATCGCAAGGAGCAGTATTGTGATGTCCTTCATGCCCTGAAAGTCGTTCGCTTTGTCAGTGACGTCACACCCCAGGTTGAAGTCTATCTCCGCATGTATCAGCTGGAGTCTGGGAAGTTGCCTCGAAGTCCCTCTTTTCCGCTGGTTAGTGGTCGCTTTGGCTGGACACTTAGCTCAACTCTTGACTGTCCTATCTTGCCAGCCTTTGGTTGCATCCTGTTTTGCCTTAGAAAGTTTCAGTGGGCCCCCATTGTTTTTTTGTTTCTGTTTTTGTTTTTTGCACCTGGCCGGTTGGTGGAGGGGTTTCATTAATAGAATAAAAGCAACACATCTCTACTTTGCATCCATGGCCCTGTACATTCTGACCCAATCTACCTTATTTTTTATTTTTTTTCTTAATACATTTTATTTTGAAGAAATTTTAAATTTGTAGAAAAGTTGCAAGAATCCTACCAAGAATTCCCTTATACTCTTCACCCAGATTCCTCAGTTGTTAACATTTTATGACATGTTTGTCATTTTGCCTGTATTTGTACCCATTTTTTTCTAAACCATTTGAAAATAAGGTACAGATGTGATGCCCCATTTCCTCAGATTCTTTCAGCATATACTTCCTGAAGACAAGCTCACCCCTGTAGATAACACCTCCGTACAGCTGTCTTAAAACCAAGAAGTTAACATTGATACAGTATTGACGTATAAACTACAGACACCATTCAAATTTGACCAGTTGTCCCAATAATGCCCTTTATTTATCACAAATAAATGAAAGTTGTGGTTGAGGATTTGATCCTGGGTTATGTATTGCATTGAGTTATAATGTTACTTTAGTCTCCCTTGATCTGAGACAGTTTCTCTGTCCTATCTTTCATGTCTTCGACACTATTAAGGGGTATAGGTAGGTTATTTCGTAGAAAGCCCCACAGTTTAGGTTTGTCTGGTGCTTCCTCCTAATTAGATCCAGGTTATTCATTTTGGGCAGAGAATACCACATAGGTGGTGCGGTGGCCTTCTCAGTGAATCATGTCAGGAGGCACATGGTGTGGATTTGTTCCATGAGAGGTAATGTTCACTTTGATCACTTGGTGAAGGTGGTGCCTGTTGGGATTTTCCACTAGAAAGTTACTATTTTTCCCTTTGTAATCACTGTTTCCTTTTGTGGGGAGACACTTTAAAAATACTATGTAAATATCCTATTTCTTATTAAACTTTAACCCATAAGTTTTACCATTTGTTGATGATTTAGAATTTTTTTTTGTTTCAACTTTTCATTTTTAAATAATTTTGGACATAGAAAAAAGTTGCAAAAAATGCAAAAATCATAAGTGCTCTCATATACCTTCATTCAGCATCCTCAAATATTAAGTACAGCTGTCTTAAAACCAAGAAGTTAACATTGATACGGTATTGACGTATAAACTACAGACACCATTCAAATTTGACCAGTTGTCCCAGTAATGCCCTTTATTTATCACAAATAAATGAAAGTTGTGGTTGAGGATTTGATCCTGGGTTATGTATTGCATTGAGTTATAATGTTACTTTAGTCTCCCTTGATCTGAGACAGTTCCTCTGTCCTATCTTTCATGTCTTCGACACTATTAAGGGGTATAGGTAGGTTATTTCGTAGAAAGCCCCACAATTTAGGTTTGTCTGGTGCTTCCTCCTAATTAGATCCAGGTTATTCATTTTGGGCAGAGAATACCACATAGGTGGTGTGGTGGCCTTCTCAGTGAATCATGTCAGGAGGCACATGGTGTGGATTTGTTCCATGAGAGGTAATGTTCACTTTGATCACTTGGTGAAGGTGGTGCCTGTTGGGATTTTCCACTAGAAAGTTACTATTTTTCCCTTTGTAATCACTGTTTCCTTTTGTGGGGAGACACTTTAAAAATACTATGTAAATATCCTATTTCTTATTAAACTTTAACCCATAAGTTTTACCATTTGTTGATGATTTAGAATTTTTTTTTGTTTCAACTTTTCATTTTTAAATAATTTTGGACATAGAAAAAAGTTGCAAAAAATGCAAAAATCATAAGTGCTCTCATATACCTTCATTCAGCATCCTCAAATATTACATCACCATAGTATAATGTTCAAAACCAGAAAATAAGCATTGATACAGTACTAAGAACTAATCTACAGACTTTATTGAAATTTTGCTGATTTTCCCACTGATGTCCTTCTTCTGATCCAGGATCCATTCTCAGATCACACATTACATTTAGTGGCTATGTCTCAGTCTTTTTAAATCTGGAATGGTTCCTCAGTCTTTCTTTGTCTCTCATGACCTTGAGACTTTTGAAGAGTGCTGGCCAGTAGAGCGTTTCTCAGTTTGGGTTTGTCTGATAGTTCCTCATGATTGAGATCTGGTTGTGCATTTTTGGCAAGAATACCACAGAAATATGATACTCAGTAACTGTTGCTGCTAACTTTGATCACTTGGTTGGTGGTGTCTGGCAGGTTTCTCCACAGTAAGGTTTCTATTTTTCACCTTTGTAATTAACAGATAACTTATGAAGAGGTATGTCGAGACTTGCAAATATCCATCCACTAGTGATTCTTTCCTGAATTGTTTTTTACTGTGCCGGTTGCCAAATGGTAATTTTCTAATTCCTTCATTCCTTTTGCATTTATTAGTTGGCATTCTTCTGTAAGGAAGAGGTTTTTTTTTTCTCTCTCACCTGTTTATATCAGTATGAATTTATGGATTCCTTTTTTATTCCAAGGCCTATAATCCATTACTACCATAATTTCTTTTGATATTCAGATTGTCCCAGATTTGGCCTGTGGGAGACCTTTCCAGCTACACCTGTGTCTTTTTGACAAGCTCCCATCATTTTGACAGTTTCCTGAGTTTCTGGCACAATGAGATGCTCCAGGTTCATCTTGTACTTCTGTGCTGCAGCCCTGAAATCAATCATTTCTTTTTGGAATGGACTGTGGTTTTTAGAAACCAAGAACAGGGCATGAGATATGCTCATTGTTCCTGGGCTGTCATTGCTTTAGGCCCTCTCACCAGACAGAGCTAGGAAGTAGATGTATGTATACGCACATTCACACACACGCTCACACATCTACATCTTTTTATATCTTTATTTATCTCTATACACTAAAAACCCTGAGCTCACACTATACTTTCAATTCCAATCCAATATCACAAGTTCATTCTGTCCTCAACTTTCTATATTTGCAGCTCCCTTCTCTGACAGTTGCAAATATGAAAAGGCTTCCGTTATTCTCAATTTATGTATGTAACCTGCACTGCCAGCCACCTCTAGCTCTGAGCTGCAGGCCCAACCCGTCTCTTTAGCCTTGGCCTCACAGGTTTTGTGGTCCCTGGCCGCTGCCTCAGTGTCAGCACCCTCCTCGGCCCTGACCTCTCCTCAGCCTCCTCCTTGGTGTTCACTACGTCCTCAGCCTCAGACCCGTAGGCCCCACGCTGCTTTCTAAACTTCATCAGTAACCAATTCCTTAACTCTAGTCACTTGGGCTTCTTCTTGTTTGTAAAGGGGAAAAAGAAGAAGAAGAGAGCAGGCAAAGGAATAATTATAGCTCTCGGGCTTTGGCTATTTTATTGCAATTCTCTCCAAGAATTTTTTTTTTCTCCTTTTTGTCTTTTTTCTTTTTTTTTTTTTTGTCTTTTTGTCTTTTTTCGTGACCGGTAACGGGATCGCAACCCTCATTGTCGCACCCGTACTGCGACTGGCAACGGGATCGCAACCCTCGGTGTCGTGCCCGCACCGCGCTCAACCAGTGAGCGGACCGGTCTCTATATGGGATCCGAACCCTCAGCGGGAGCGCCGCCACGCTCCCAAGTGCCGCACTCTACCGAGTGTGCCACCAGGCCGGCCCTCCAAGGATTTTTTAAAAAGATTTTATTTGTTTGGCTGAAACAGAGTGAATTGTTTAAACGGATTTGCCTGCAAGCTTTGCTAGTCTACATATTTACTTATTTTTATTGCAGATTGGGCTTTGACTTATTCTTTGAAGTTAATGATGTGGTATCCATGGACAAGCCTTAGAGCTAAGAAAGATCATCCACCTTTATTAGTATATTGAGAGAGAAGGTCCCTAAAAAACAATTGGAACTCTTTAATGATCTCCTTGAAATTTCACTTATCATTGGCAGAATGAAGTTGATAGTACTATACAAATTCTTATGTTACATATTAAGTTAGATTAGACAGTCTATTGGTTCAAGAAATCTAAATGATAGGTGATAGTTTCCACCTCACCCTGCTCAGCTGGTCCATGCTTCAAGCCCAGATCCTTTTACTGTAGTCGTGGGCAGACATGCTGTCTGAGTGTTTGTTTTGGAATCTGCCACCCCATGCCTCTCCACTCAGTCTCATTTTTTTTTCTGTTAGTAAGAGTGTATGACAGTGTTCGGCACAGGGCCAAGAATGTAATCAGCTGAAGGACACTGGTCCTCTCCTCCTTTAACCTGTCAGCATGGTCTGAAGAGGTCAGTTACATGTCACATTTGGGGGCACCTAACAGTGTCCAGGACTAGATGGGAGTCCAAGAAAAGGAGACTCTGATTTCCCTTTTCTTTTTTCTTTCCTATCCTTCTCTGATACATTAATAAAATGATTAGATAAATTTATTTTTTATGATTTTAACTCCATTATTCTTTACATTTTATGGAATATTAACAAATTGTAAGAAGGTCTAAGAGTGAAATGCTTTTATTAAAATGGGAATTTTGATTTCACCTGGAACTCTTTAGGGGGATGGAAACATACTTTTTGTTTGTTTTTTTTAAAAAAATTTTTTGAATCAGAATTGATTATACATATTTTTGGGGTTCAACATTGAGATATGTTGATCAAATCAATATTACCAGCATATATATTGTTACAAATTGTAATTATTCTTTATGCCCCTTGTCCAATCCTACCCCATGCCCCTTCTTCTCCCCCTTCCCCCCAATCACCCTAGATTTCTTCTCTCCCTCTGAAAGAGTAATGGTTACTCTGTTGATTTGCTGCCCAAATGATTGGTCCAATGCTGAGAGGCGTGATCAGGTCCCCCAATATTATCATAGAGCAGATGTCTCTTCTGTCACTATGAAATGGGCTCTGTGGAGACAGACATCCTCCTCCTTTCTTTATCTCTGCTGGTGACTCTCCTTGTGTCAACTCACTCCAGTGGCTGGTGGACCATCTGTGTGGTGGTTGTGGCATCTAGCCGCCTTCACAGTAGCCATGGTTATCGTGGTGGCTGTGGTGGGCCACCCACATGTAGGGGATATTTTTGGTCTGCTCCGTGGTGCTGGCAGTGTGCCTGGTTGTGGAGAGTGTCCGAACCCTGGTTCCATACCCCGGGTCCCCAAGTGGGTCCCGAGGTGCTGGCACAGTGTGCCTGGTTGTGGGAGGAGGGTCCAGTCCCCAGCTCCTTACTCTGGGTCCCTAGGCACGCCCCAAGGCATTGGCGCAGTGTGCCTGGTTGTGGGAGAGGGTTACGGTCGCCTTCTCCATGCCTCGGGTCCACAGCAGGCCCCAAGGCACTGGTGCTGTGTGCCTGGTGGTAGGAGGTGGATCCGGTCCCTTTCTCCATACCCTGGGTCCCAGGGCAGGCCCTGAGGTGCTGGCATGGTGTGCCTGGTTGTGGGAGGGGGGTCCGGTCCCCTTCTACATTCCCTGGGTCCCCGGTTGGGACCTGAGGCGCTGGCGAGGTGTGTCTGGTCATGGGAGGGAGGTTTGGTCCCCTTCTCCATGCCTTGGGACTCTGGGTGGGCCCTGATGTGCTATCCTGGACTGCCTCGTTGTGGGAGGGTGGGTTCAGTCCCAACTCCTTATCCTGGGTCCCTGGGCAGGCCCCGAGGCGCTGGCGTGGTAAGCCTGGTTGTGGGAAGGGGGTCTGGTCCCCTTCTCCATGTCTCAGGTCCCTGGGCAGGCCCTGAGGCTCTGGCATGGTGTGCCTGATTGTGGGAGGGGGGGGTCCAGTTCCACCCTCCATTCCTCGGGTCTCCGGGTGGTCCCCGAGGTGCTGGCACAGGGTGCCTGGTTGTGGGAGGGGGTCTGGTTCTCTTCTCCATGCCCTGGGTCCCAGCACAGGCTCCAAGGTGCTGGCGCAGTGTGCCTGGTTGTGGGAGGGGGGTCCGGTCCTCTTCTCCATGCCCCAGGTCAGGCCTGAAGTGCTGGCGTGGGGTGCCTCGTTGTGGGAGGGCGGGTCCAGTTCCAACTCCTTATCCTGGGTCCCTGGGCAGGCCCGAGGTGCTGGCGTGGTGAGCCTGGTTGTGGGAGGGGGAGTCCGGTCCTCCCTCCCCTGGCAGGCCCCAAGGCCCTGGCATGGTGTGCCTGGTTGTGGGAAGGGGGACCAGTCTCTGGCTGCTAGCCCCGGGTCCCTGGGCTGGCCCCTAGGTGTTGGTGGTGTGCCTGTATACGGGAGTGGGGTCTGGTCCTTGGCTCCAATCCTTGGGTTCCTGGGTGGGGCCCCAAGGTGCTGGTGGTGTGAGTGGTTGTGGGCAGGGGTCCTGCCCCTGGCTCCATGCCTCATGTCCCCGGTGGGCCCCAAGGCATTCATGGTGTGTCTGGGCCAGAACTAAGTTTTTGTCCTTTGCTTACTACTAAAACAGGGGAACTTCCTGTGGGAACTAATACTTGAGCTGTGTGGTTGAGGTAAATTGCTGCTTTGCTGCTGTTTCCCTAGGGAGGGCTTTTTGTGCAGCTCAGGGTTTAATGGTTGACCTTATAGGTACTTCTGGCTCTCCAGATACTCGGTGCACCTGGGTTGTGTAGAAACTCTGATGTGGGCCTGAGTTTTTTCATCGAACTGCACCCCATGCAATTCTGCATTCCCAACTAGTCTCCTCTGAGTGGTCCTGTGCTGATTGGGGGCTGGATTGGCTGTCCTTGCTGTGTCCTAGTATTCTCCCGGTGGGCCTGTCTTCCCAACCATCCATGCTCCAAACACTTCCCGTGGGATGGGCCGTGCACCAGTCTCTTGCAATGACTCACCAGCCTCTGAGTGGCTCTCCTTTTTCAGCTGTTCTGTCTTCTCGCTCCTGTGTGGGTCCATGGGAACCCTGTTAGTGGTCTTGCTGTCCTGGGGGCCACCAAAGTCTTCTCCCCTTCCTCCTACAAGTAATTCCATCTAAAGGGCACAGCTGTGGCTTCTGCAGGGTCCTGCTCCATGCGCTCCAGCATTAAAGTGGCCATGTCCCAAAACGCTGAGAGCAGTTTTTTCTTTCTCTTCGTGGTTTCTCCCCCCTTCATGAGTTCCATAGGTCTCTCCTCCTCTTCACTTCAGCTCCAGCGGCCCCAGCTTGGCTGATGTTACATTTTTATAGTTGTAAATTTGTTGATTTGTGGGAGAGAGTGACACTGGGGACCATCTATTCTTCCACCTTGACCGGAAGTCTGGAAAGATAACTTCTTAGTTTCTTTTTAACATTAAAATCCTTTGGATATTAAATCCTAGGTAAAAATGTAAAGCTTTTTGTGTAGGATATGGTGTTTGAAAACAAAGTAGATTTTCAAATAAGGTTCCAGTTTTTATAAGATTTCTCTATTGAAATTTACTTGTTTACTTTCATATTCTGAGTATTGATGCAAGGTCTGAGAAATGCCATTCTTTTGGTTCCTAAGCTTCTGATTCTAGGGTCATTTTAACATATTAGGTGCTTGACGATAGAACAAAAGTCTAAAGGGATGCATGAGTGCTTTGAAATAAGCAAGTATTTTATTAATCTTTTTTGGAGTCATTCAATATTTGCGAATTACTGTATTGATAAATGTCTCCAAGTATTGTTTGTGCTGTTTGTCCTTTTGAGAGAAATTCTCACTTAGCACTGAGAATATCTTGGGATGGAGTCAGCATCTTGCTTATGATTAATGTTGACTCCATGATAGGTTTAATGTAAGAAGCTTGAGAATCTCTGCATGCTCAGCCTGAAACCTAGTCATTGGCAGGCAACACTAATTTAAATAGACTTCTGTTGTTACTCATCTCTTTTCTTTAGTGATGGAATCTGTGATTTTTGATCCCACTTTGATTTATTAATGCAGCCTCTTCAAAATTTAGGGGGAAAGGTGTTGTTTTTTATTAAAGAAATATGTATTTTGCTCTTCTACTGCCTCCCTCTTGAGATTTATTATTAATCTTTCAGGAGCCAGATGATGAAGTATTTCTTGCCATTGCTAAAGCCATGGAAGAAATGGTGGAGGATAGTGTTGACTGCTACTGGATCATCCGATGCTTTGTGAACCAATTAAATAATAAGTACCGGGATTCTTTACCCCAGCTGGTAAGCAATGGGTTTTTTGGTTGTTTGGGGGTAGGCAATGCTACTGGAGGTCTTCAGGGAATACTCTAACCTCCTGGTGCTGCTACAGATATGACTGGACCCCCTGTAGTAGGGCTCTGCGAATATTTTCTGTAAAAGGCCGGATAGTAAATACGTCCAGCTTAGTGGGCCAGATGGTCTCTATTGCAGCCACTCGACTCAGCTGTGGTAGCATAAAAGCAACCATAGACAGTGTTAAAAGAATGCTCGTGGCTGGATTGGCCCCTCTGCAGGCCATAGGTTACCAGCCCCTGCTGTATAGTATTCCTTATCCTGGTGCAGTCTCCACTTGTTTTATATAGAATTATCCCTCTGTATTAGTTAAGGTTTAGGTTTGCCTCAGTAAATGGAAAGCCCAACTAATAGAAGCTTTGTTGTTTTCTCTCATGTAACCAGAACCCAAGAGGTGAGGCAGTCCAGAGCTGGTGCTGTAATGCTATGGTAGGGACAGGGCTTCAGGTTCTGTCATTTTGCTCCAGCATTCTTAGGCACGATCCTTCCTCTCATCATACAAGATGGCTGTTGGACTGACAGCTGTGACATCCATGTTCTGGGCAGGAAGGAAGGGAGGGCAAAGATAAAAGTGAAGGAGTAAAAGGGACAGGCCAGTCAGGTCTGTTGCCCTTTAGCAGGCTTTCCTTCTGCATGGGACCATGTCACCTGGCCACCCTATCTGCAGTGGAGGCTGGGAACTGTGGTTTTAAAGCCTGGCACGTGTGATCTCCCATTGAAATAGGGCTTCTGTTAATGAAGAAGGAGAAGTGCATGGATATGGGGAAGGCAGCGGCTTTGTCTGCCAGACCCTGGCATGGGGACTTAGAGGACTGACTGGCACGTGTCTCAAAGTATAAGCCAATCTTCCTTTGCAGTTCCCTTTTTTTCTGGTTTTCTTATCTTATTTATAAAAATGAATCTCTTTTTTCTTAAATCATTGAGTTATTTCATTTGAAAATTCTACTGGGAGTGGTAACTCCCAATACAGGGCATAGGGTCAGCTGAGGGGAGCCATGCAGGCTGGGTGAGCATGGAGTATCCTGGCTCTGACCTTGTCAGTTACTTATTAATAGGACAATGGGCAGGGCCCTTCAGCTTCACAGAGCACTTAGGAGAGCAGTTTTTATCTATTTCAATCAAGTAAAATTTAATTTTTAAGATTTTGAAATTTGATCCACTTAGTTGATTTCAATAAAAATAATTTAAGCATGGAATTGGAGCATAAATAAATATAATGTTAGTTGCTTAATTAAATCAGGAGGTCTCAATTATACCATGATTTAATTAGCTTTTCTTATTAAATATTGGAGTAAGTCAGTAGCCTTTTGATAGTTTATGCTAAGTTTAAAAAATTCATTCTTTATTTTTGGTAATGTAAGTAGATGAATATGTTCTCAGATGAGTTTAAGCAATCTAGGTGAATCCATATCTCCTTAGATCTGTACCAACACCCCCTAGCCCCCAACCCTGCTTTCTAAGAAGGAAACATTGCCATCAGCTTGGTGTGTATTCTTCTAGACTCTTTTATGAGCATGTATATATAAATGATTTTTTAAAAGCACATAAATAGTATAACACCATACATTTGGCGTGTGGTTTTTAACTTAATGTCTTGGAGAACTTTCCACATCAGTACAGATAAATTCCTAGTTTGCATTTCTGACTTCCTGTTAGTACCACCTGGAAGCTATTCAAAATTACCCTCACCTTTCCTCTCAGACCAAGTATATCAGACTCTCTGGGGGTGGGGCCCTGGAACTGTAACTGTGTAGAAGCTCAGGTGATTCTGACGTGTAGGGGGTGTTGAGAACCACTCATTTAGAACCACTCATCTTTTTAAAAGATTTACTGATAGCGTTTCTTGTTATAAATTTACTGTAATTAAATATAGCAGATCCATACCAACTGTAAACATGCCCTGTACATGTTCCTCATGTGTATGTGTATTTTTCAAGGTTAGGTACCTAAGAGGAAAGGCTCGGGTGAAGGAGAGACATATTCAAAATCTGTGTATTTATTTATTTATTTTTGACATGTTCAAAATTTAAACTGCCAAATCACTCATCTAAAGATCATATCGATTTATGCTCCCACCAGATTATGAGATGTTGTTTCCCACCTGATTGCCCATACTTGATAGTATCAGTCTCTTAAAATTTTGCCCATCTGATAATGAAAATATCTCATTTTAATTTTCATATTCTCAGTCTCTAGTGAAGTTGAGCAGCTCTGCATATTTCTATTATTTTGTCGGCTTTGTAAGAGTTATTGGTATACGTTGGGTATTTATCCTTTATCTGTTATGTGTGTTGAAAATACTTTCTCCCTTTCTGTTGTACAAAGATTTTGATGAAATGAGATTTGTCAATATTTTTCTTTTGCTGCTTTGTATCTTAATTAGCCCTTTTCAACCCTAAGGTTAAAAAACATGTTTTCTTCGTTCTCTCCTAAAATGTATAAGCATTTTAAATTTAGCCCTTTAATTAGTCAGGAATTTATCTTTGTGATTGGTATCAGACACACACTGGATTTTACTCCTTTACATTTACCCTGCAACACCACAAGTTCCACCAGCACATCACTACCCCTCCGCTCCTCCTGTCCCCTCTGCTTAGCGTGTCATTGAGAAGGCAGTTCATGCCAGGCTGTGCTGAATTTGTTTTATTAATGAATTACTGCATAGAAGCATCTTAGTTTTTGAAGATGAGGAAACTGAAGCACAGAGAAGTTAAGTAACTTGCTTAAGGTCACACAGTAAGCAGTAGAACTGCTTATTACACCGTTTATTTGTTAGTTCATCCCTTTTTTATGATTCAAAATGCCATCATTATATATTGGATCTCCATATATATTTGTATCTCTTCCTGGACTTTTTTCCATTGAGCTATTTGTTCCTGGACCAATACCACATGATTTATGTAATATAGCTTTCTAGCATATTTGGATAGCTGTTAGGGAAGAAAGTTCCCATTTCAAAAATGCCTTGGCTATACTTGAACTTTCTTTTTTCTTTTTAAAAATGAATTTTAGGATCAGCAAGATACTTAATGTCTCTTAGATCTTAATTTTCTTATTAAAAAGGGGGGTTTACTTTTATTTTAAATTGAATAGTTAAGAGGTTTTCAAAAAAGTTCTTCAGAATGTGTTGCTGTTTGATTTTGGCATCAAGTCATCTGAATGAACTTTTCTTTTGAGTTAAAGTGTGTTGAAATTTTTTATTATCATTGCATAGTGGATCTTTTCTTCTTAGCTTTGTGTTAGAGTTTCTATAATCTTATCTCTCATCTTTTCATGTTTTTTGTGGTTGGACCACATAAATTCATTATTACAAAATGTACATTGCTTTATAGCTCTAGGGAAAGGTGCGTGTGATGGACGGAGGAAGATAAGAACACCTGAGTGAGAACTTGTTTACTGTGCTGCAGTGCTCTGATCCCTAGCACTGCATTCTAGCTTCTCTCCTTACCAGCTTTTTATTTTTATTTTTTTTCCTTTTTTTTTTTTTTACTGACTGGTAACAGGATCGCAACCCTCGGTGTCGTGCCCGCACCGGGGACCAGCAACGGGATTGCAACCCTCGGTGTTGCGCCCGCACTGCGCTCAGCCAGTGAGCGGGAACCGGTCTCCACATGGGATCCGAACCCTCAGCGGGAGCGCCGCCACGCTCCCAAGTGGCGCACTCTCCAGTGCGCCACTGGGCCGACCCCTTACCAGCTTTTTAAAAGTCAGCTCTTTGCCAAGGCCTCTCATTGCCAAGGAAAATAGAGGCCAACTTAATTGTGTGGCACAGAAGGCTTCTCTTAAACCATCTCAGACTTACTTGTGTTTAGTCATTAGAGTAAGTGAGCTTTCTTTCATTGCTACTGCCACAATTTTTTAAAGCTATCCTAAAGAAGTTTTTTTCATAAACATTATTAGCAGCTTCTTCCTAAGTTTAATATAAATTCCGCTTAAGTACCTTTTTAGTCAGGTTTTGCCTTCTGTTGATGATATATGCTCTAATTTCTTCATAACGTAACAGTTTGGGGTCATGGAAATATTGGAAATAGCCTAAATATTTAGCAGTAAAATGTAATTGTGGTTATAATAAATTACATCTATCATTTTCTGAGTGTGAAAAATGTCAGGCAATATTAATATCTCCTTCCATTAAAATAATGCACCTACGTATATATTTGCATTCACCTTCTTTCTTAGGTTGAACTGTAGCATACAATACACATTTTTTTCCTGCCCTGCTGTTTTACCTTATATGTGCTGGAGATCATGCCATAGTAGTTTATAGAGATATTCCTTATATCTTTTCGTGGCTGCTTACTATCGTATAGATTTATATATACCCTAGTTTATTCAACCTATCCTCTATTGGCCATTTGAGAAGTTTCCAGTATTTTACTATTATAAAGTGTTAGAGATGAATGGCTTTGCACACACATCTTTTCATTTATTTACCAGTATATTTTTGGGATAGATTCCCTAAAAATAGATTGGCTGGATTAAAAGGTAAATGCATATACTATTTTGCTAGATATTGCTAAATTCCCATTCATGGAGCTCATACTCTTTTGCTTCCTCGTAACCAGTAGATTGTTTTCCTATAGCCTGTTTCCCTGCAGCCTTGTCAGTATGGTATGTCATTAGTCTTTTGGATTTTTGCCAGTCTGATAGGTAAGAAATGATACCTCAGTGTAGTTTTAGATTGCATTTTTTCTGTCATAAGCAGGGTTGAGCATCTTTTCATATGGGTAAGAGCCATTTGCATTTTTTTTTCTATAAGGTTGTTGGCTTTTTTCTTCTGTTTTTAGAAGCTTTCTTTATTTAGAGATATTAACCCTTTCATGTTGTTTATTAACTTGGGAAAATGCCCACAATTTAAGTGCAAAAAGCAAAATACTAAATTGTTCATTTAGTATGAGTCCAACTAATAAAAGACAGAAAAGTGTGTGTGTATGTGTCCAGAAAAACAAATGGGTGCTATACAACCTAAATGTTACCAGTAGTTGTCTTTGGGTATGTGATCATAAGTGATCTTTATATCCTTCTTTATTCTTTTTTTTGTAAAGATTTCTTATAATAGCATATATAAATCAGGAAAAGATATTTAGAAAAAAAATAAGTTGTTGGCAAAAAGATGTATGTTGATTGATTATCAAGATGTTGATTAATGTATTTCAAAACTTCATATTAATTCACGACACTCATTGACTCAACAATTATATATTGAGTGCTCACTATGGCAAGTATTGTTCTAGGTACTGGAGAACTAGCAGTGAACAAAACAGATATGGTCCCTACCCTCAGGGCGCTTATAGTCTGATAAAAGAAAAAGACAATAGTTTAAAAATGTTTACTCGTCTGTATCTTATTATTTGCACTGAGTTTTGGATGAAATTTTCTTTGCTCTGAGACATAATATATAAATGTGTGTGTGTTTTCAATCTTGTCACTTTGTGGAGAAAGTACATACAGGTATATATATATACTATTGGCATAACCAACCAAAATGCTAGAATAAGGTTCCTTAGGTGAAAGGCCAGGATAGGAGACCTTTGGCAACTTGTACTTTGGAGGAACGTTCCTTGTTTGGGAAGTTGTATGTAGTGTTCTTGAGAGGCTCTAGGAACTGTTGAATAATGTAGGGAAGTTAGATAAACAGAAAACAGATGCCCTGAAAGGCGGAGGGGAAAATTGGACCAGATATTAGTATGTGGGACCCTCTTTGCCTGGCTAACTCCTGTCCATTCTTCAGGGGTCAGCTCAGATGTCACCTCTCCTGGGAAACTGTTTCTCACTTGTAAATCCTGGGTTAAGATTCCCTCCTGGATGTACCCAACATCTAGTGCTTATTCCCGTCAGAGCGTCATAGCGTTACAGTTATTATAGTTACCTCCTGTCTTTCTCAGTCAACCTGTAAGCTCCTTGAAGTCAGAGACTTCTTTATTTTACTTTATTCCTTGTGTGTAGCAGTGACTGGCTACAGTGGACATTGTAAAGGTTACGAATCACCTCTATGAAAGAAGCAGAGAGATGTAGATATCTAGTAATATAAACGTTTACATTGGCTTAGGTGATTCGGGATCTGGTTATATTCTTCCAGATAGTTTGTATGGACTTTGAGGTTTGACTCTTGGGGTCCATTTTTAGCCAGTGGACTCTAAATACAGCAGCTTGTGCAAGGTGCATTTGGCCAGGTCTGGGGAGCTGGCTTTGTTGGCTCTCCCAGCTTTCTAGGGTTGGCTGCTGTTTAACATTATATAGGGGAGGCTACTAGATGAATCCAGGTACTTTGTTCCATCCGTGTTATTCCTCTGTTTCCAAGAAATTCTTGTGCACATTTGTGTTGGGTACAGAGTTCATCCTTTGGACATCCCTGTTGTTTAAGGCTCCTTGGCACTGGTCATTCATATACAGGATAGCATATGCATGGTCAGTGACTGACCGGCCCTTTTTCATGTCCATCTCTTTTTGTCTCATTCTTCCTGATTCTCACTCCCCACCCTAATCCCACTCTGTTTCTTTGGTTCTACACTTCCTCTTTCCCTTTTTTTCCTGTATATGAGGGTAGCTCAAAAAGTTCATGGAAAGATTCATAGTATCTTTTAATTCTACTTTTCCATGAACATTTTGAAGTACTCTTGTATATAATATATTGCTCTAGACCAGCCAGTAATATCATGGGCCATTCTTAGCTCCCCAGAACAATTGAATTTTGCTGTGGACTTTTGCCTTAGACAGTTGAATCTGGTTAGTGCAGTTAGTATCAGGGTCACCAATCACTGTCTTTTACCTGGGACTTTGCGGTTTTAGCACTGAAAGAGTCCTGTGTCCCTGGAAACCCATCAGTACCAGATAGAGGGTTGGTTCCTCTGGTTAGTACTGACTTGGTAAACTGCTGTGTCACAAGTAACTTGAATGATTCTGAACTTTTGTTTTCTAGCACTTCCCTGCATTCAGCGCGTACATTGTTTTCATCATAGGCTGTAGTATCAGGTGATGTTATGTCATAGGAAATGAGTGCTATCTCTTCCTGTTTAATCTTTAGCCAAAGGCTTTTGAACAATACTTGAATCTGGAAGACAGCAGACTGCTGAGTCATCTGAAGTTATGTTCTGCAGTGTCCAAACTTCCTTATGATGTCTGGTTCAAGAAGTGCTTTGCGGGATGCTTGCCCGAATCCAGTTTACAGAGGCAAGTATTTCTTTTAAAGACATACTGAAGGCTTGGAGTCAGAGAAGAATCCTGGCCTTTCTTGAGATCATCCCTGAGAATATAAACTTGCTTCAGAACAATATAGTAATTTGAAGTAAATTTCTTCAGCAGCTACCATAACAGCACATGATTCTGCTTATTATTGAGTATACAGTTAGAAAAATTGAGAGCCCTCAGTGTGTTAAATGCTGTGTAATAGTCACATCTGAAACAGGATCCAGGAGTTTATGTAAGCATGAGCTCCTCTTTTCCAGAAATGTGATAGATCCTAACCTGGGGGTAATCTTGGTATGTCTTAGTTTTATCATGGCATCTTTAAAGGAGCTGAAGGCAGTCAAAGATTTGAGACTCAGCTCTTCCAGTCAGTTTCAGACACATGTTAAAGGTATTTCTGAGTCCTGGTCCTGTCCCTCCAAGACTTTATGACATAATTGAGAAGAAGGGCAATATACAGAGAACATTACAGGAGCGTGTAGAGTATAATACCAATATTAAAAGTCATAGGAATTATCAGAATAATTTTAGAATGGCTGCAGATCAATAACCGGCTCATTAAGTCCTTAAAGAAGTTTAAGAAATCTGTCACCCAGAACCACTGGCAATGAAATTGTATTTATCTCACTTCATATACTTCTTTTGTTGTTCTTAGCATGCAGTACTACAGAGTATTAGTAAAATACTGTGATTTAAAGTATAATTTAGGACTTTCTTTCCCATCCCCCGAAGTGTAGGTTTGCAACATGAGGGAATGGGCATTTGGTAAATTTCTAGCGAACATTATTTTTCAGTTAACTTTCCTTTTTCCTTCTAATTATGATTATGTCTAAAATAGATTTCAAATGGTTTATCTATTTTGTTGTTGTTTTTAATGATTATTTCACAGTACTTGTTCTCTGAAGCTTATACATAAAATAGGAGTAATTTGATTTTATTTTGTAATTTGAGATGTCTAAGTAAATATAATTTCAGACTCATGTAATTTCATTATATATATTTTTTTGTAGGATTTGGGATAAAGTTGTAAGTGGATCCTGTAAGATCCTAGTTTTTGTAGCTGTGGAAATTTTATTAACCTTTAAAATAAAAGTAATGGCACTGAACAGTGCAGAGAAGATAACAAAGTTTCTGGAAAATGTAAGTGTTCTTTAATTTGATTTTGAATCTAGAAATCAAGTCAGCCGAGCAAGCCAAATTTTCCTGTTGTGTTAAATTATTTCAAAGAAATAACACAGTATTTTTTTAATATTATAAGAAACATTTTTTTTCCCTGGGAACATTTGTGCTTAAAGTTGGCCTGTGGATTATAGTTTGCCTCCTCGCTTTGGGGGATGATGGTCTGAGCACAGGAGCATTGCATGTGTGTGCCCACTTAGTCCCATGGGACCACCAGCAGGCATGTCAGGAAAAGGAAGAGGTGAGATCTGTAACTGCAGGATGAGTGATTTTTGTCAATGGAAAAGTAATCCTGACATTTTGGAGAATTTTATAAACCCTTTCATTTCTGTTATTATCTCTGGTGTAATTCCAGTTGGGTTTATTACTGTGCTTAAGTATTAATTTAGTGCATGTTGAAAAGGGCTAAAAAGTTCAACTTTTCCCTCCCTATGTATTTTAGAATACTCTTTACCAGGCAAGAAGCAGAAGTAGAGACTTACACCTGAATGAATTCCACAGGACCTGAAATCTTTCTTTCTTTCTTTTTTTTTTTTTTTAATTAGTCAATATTAACATTTGATCAGTGACCTGGTAAATAATAACTATTAAGTGAATGTGTACTGAATAAATAAATCATTAGTGGCTAACAGTGCCATGCCTGTGCTAAGTATTTTTCATGAGTTATCTCATGTCATCCTGTAAATAGCTCTCAGAAGCTGGGCTGTCGTTTCCTCCATTTCAGAGATGGGGATCTGAAACCCATGTAGCTTAGGTAATCTGCCCAGGAGTGCACAGTGGGTAGTGTAGGATCTGAACCCGGGCAACCAGACACTAGAGCTCCTTCGTATGTCCTCAGGTGGCATGTGAAACAAGCCTTTTATGCTGTCACTTTATGAAAAACAGTGAAAATTCTGGTGGAAATAAGTTTTATGCTACAGTGAGTGAGGGAAGATACTGAAGTTGTAAACCCTGAAATTTCATGAAGACTGGTTTGCTTCTCCACAGATTCCCCAGGACAGCTCGGATGCGATCGTGAGCAAGGCCATCGACTTATGGCACAAACACTGTGGGAACCCCGTACATTCAGCCTGAGCACTCCCAGTGGGGGGTGGACAGTCTGCCAGGCCTGCCCTGAGCATTTTGTTCTTGGCACATGACCTACTAAAATGATTGAAAATAGTCTTCTTGCTTCGGTTCTCAAAGTGTAATTTTTTTTCCCCAGTAAAATCATTTAATTGAAATTCCTCGTGTTGCTGTGTTGTGGAGCAGCATCTTTTGGTTATACAGAAATCCCAAGTTCATCTCTGAACAGCATTTTATAAGGGTTGTTAGAAAACAGCTCCCAGTTTTTATCAGTCCGGGTGGGAGGGTGCATTAATAAGCAGTGCATAACTAAGCCTGCCCTGCCTCTGTCTAATTAGCATCAAGCTAGTTACTTTCTAAGGTCTGTTTCTGGAATAAAGAGCAACTTCCTTCTGTTGACACCTCTGGTTGGCTTTTCTTGATGCAGTACCTGTTTAAATATAAGCCGACTTCCTTCTGAGGCTTCATCTTGCTAAAAAGCCTTTTTAAAAGACCTTACTTTTTTTTTTTTCTCTTTGTTCCAGTTGGAATGAAACCATTATTAAAACAAAATACATCTAAATTTACCAGAGAAAGTACTTGTTTGATATTTTACTGGACTCATGCTTTTTCGTTATGGGTCATTAAATGTTGGGTAGACTTAAGGGTACTGTGCCATACACAAAAGGAGTGGGAGAAATGGCAGGTTAAAGTTAATAGCTAATGACCCCTGAGCCGTGTTGTGCTACATAAGAGTCACGATTCATTGGACAGTTGCTGGCTTTGAGACTGGTGAGTGAAAAATGGACCCTTTGTTTCAGACTGATTTCATCTGGCAGACTTGTAAGAGCCTGAGTGGTGAATTGGATTCTCCACCTCACCCCATCCCCTAAGAGAGGAGGGAGACAATGAAATTATCGAGTTACAATTCTGAGGATTCAGCCCCTCCCTAATATGTAAGTATCTGCTGAGAAAAAGTTCAGAGAAAACTGAGTTGAAATCAGCTGGTAGTTATGTACAGTAACATATCCAAGAGTATTTCTTTTTTAAAAACAAAAATACACTTAGAAGAAGAACCTCTTAAAGCAAAACTGCTGCCTACAGTTAATACTTTAAGAAATGATTTGTTGCCATTCAGTGATCCCCTCAGCCCCTGGAGAACTTTTAATCCAATTGGGGGTATAAGAAAAAACACACAAAGGAATTCCTTCCCCAATTGCCTACTATCTAGGTATCTTGGGGGAATATATGAAATTTACAGAGAAGTCATAAAACAAAAATAATGTTACTTCTGTTTAATTACTGAGCCTTATATCATTTGCACACATTTTTAGTAAAATAGAGATGATGAAGTGGTATTAGTACATCCCAACTCCAGAAAGAAAAAAGAAAAGTCAGTCTCTCAAGAGGATAGTTTCAAGGTGTGTGCTCCTGCTAACTCATGCCTGAATGCCCAGAGAAGTGATGCCTGCAGGAGAGTGAGCGTGGGAGGTGGGAGCCAGCCGGGAGCCTGGAGCCTGGAGCCGGGAGCCGGGAGCCAGGAGCCAGGAGCCTGGAGCCTGGGACGTGTGGGGAGAAGGAAGGCTGACGGACAAAGTTCCTCTCACATCACCATTTTGGCTGGGGTCCAGGTGATCTGAAGTGGAAGATGACTACTGTACTGCTAGGGAACCTGAAAATAAATATTCTGTAAATATATTTTGTCAAACCGAGTTTGGTACAACCTTTCTGGCTAGAGTGTGGGGTGGGGATTTTTTTTTTCTTGAAGTGAGTCAATCTGATACCATCAAGAGTTTTCCTTATTAGAAAACTATTCAGCAGAAGATTTTTAAAAATTTTTTTTATTTTGTCAATATACAATGTGGTTGATTATTATGACCCATCACCGAAACCTCCCTCCCTCCTCCTTCTCCCCCCTCCCACCCAAGAATGTCCTTTCCATTTGCTTGTTGTAACACCTTCAAAGAAATTGTAGTTGTTATATCTTCTTCCCCCCCCCCCGTTTTTTTTTTTTTTTTTTTTTTTTTTT